TGGCTCTTCGAAACCCAGCTTCTGTTCATATCTTCGATTCTGCTTATGTTCAACCCTATACTCTAAATATCCTATCGTCTGAAGCTTGTCAATGCCAATCGAGTTCTTTAGAATCTCCACGAATTTCGATTACTCTGACTTAATTGTGAACAATTGTGGGGAAAGCAAGGCTATATGAAAATAACGGGAAACGTCAGCTATACTCATATCATTATGGAAAAATTCCACTACCAGTCCTTCATCACCTTAAACGAAATAGGGTGAATACATTTCGTATAACTGATTTACTGGTAGTCTCGAAACTCTGCTTCTATACGTAAAATTCATTGACTATGTCAAAAGCGAATCTCTATTGAATATGAACAATGATTTCCAATACCTGACTCCATGCTGAGTTAAACGTTTAGTTATATATAAAACATATGATCTCTTTATGGGATCACCTCTAGTTAATGGTTGAAAAATTTTGCATCAATTGTCGAATCAAAGGAAATGCCTTCTCCGTTCACTTTGACTGCCTGTTGTTTGAATCATTTACAAAGCCTTATCAGACTTTTATAAAAACACGAGTGTCATGCACTTTTCCACCCTAACCAGTCCGATGGCAAGGCATGCATCATATACCACAATGCTGATAGTTTCTGTTCTGATTCATGCTCTGGTTTAATTTCTATCAGCAATATGGAAATTACACCTATGGAAGTGCATCTAAATAAGACGCCAAACTAAGTAAAATATTGTTGGGGGGACTTTCATTTCGTATGAAAGTGTATGAGGAAGAGATTCGGTGGTCGATATCATCAGAAGAGGATGGATGAATATCATGGTACTGTAGTCGTTCGGCTCTTATACGACCTTCAGGTTGACGCAATCCAGGATACCTCCTCCATTGTTTCGTGTGAAAACGGACTGAGATTTCGTCCATCATATGGTGGACATCATATGCATACAACAAGGAACTGCCACTTTTTTGCTATATTCCGTATTAAATTCTTATGAGTTTGTGAAATTGATTGATCAGCAGACACTTTCAGAAGAGGATAGGCTAGTAAGTTTTGATGTTTTGTCTATGTACACCAACATTGCTGTTCAAGCTCTGATGCAAACTAGGGAGGAGCATCCAGGAATAACACAAGGAATAAGGCTGAGTATAGCTTCCATTATTAGACTTGTTAACCTATCCATAAGTTCCACATATTTTACCTTCGATGATAAGTTATACGGACAAAGACAAGGACTAGCGATGGGATCTTGCATGGCTCCCAACTTGGCGAAAAATTTTATGGCAAGACTGGAGGAACACTTCTTGCAAGAAGCAATACTAATCCCCAAATTGTTGGATAGATACATTGATGACTAATTTGTCATCTGGCCTCATGGTAAGGAAAATTTAGATAGTTTCCTACTTTCACTCAACCAGCGTGAAAGAACATTATGTTGACGGTGGAAATGCAAGATAATAAGTCCTTACCCTTTCTGTATGTTCTCATCATTAGAGAAGAGGGTAATTTAGGAAGAGATGCTTATCAGAAGCCAACATATGATGGCTCTGCTTAATTTTTCTTCCAACCATAATTACAAGACTAAGGTTGAAATGTTTGAAGTATGAGGCTAGTGGA